CAGAGGTGCTTCTCCTCCCTGAGCTCCCCCCCCCCACTCCCCCCCCCCACATTTAGTGACTGGATCCAGAAAAGAGGGTGAAGAGAAGGAGGAAACAGGACAACTCCAAGGCTTCACAGCAGAGTGTCTGGAAGAATGACGATGCTCCTTGGGCAGACCAGGGAGCAAGAGAATAAGCATTTATTGGGGACCAGCCTCCCTACTAGGTGACCTCATAGTGCACAGAGCGCCAGTCCTGGAGGCAGGAGGACCTGAGTTCAGATCTGGCCCCAGACACCAACTTGCTGTGTGACCCTGGGCAAGTCACTTTGCCCTGTTTGCCTCCGTTTCCTCTTCTATAAAATGAGCAGCGGAAGGAAATGGCCAACCCCTCTGGTATCACTGCCAAGAAAACCCCAGATGGGGTCACGGAGAGTCTCAGAATGTGACTGAACAACAACGCTCCCTTTTCACGTTCAAGGACACAGAAAATGAGTGCCCCTTCCTGGTTCCTCTGGTGACCCTGCTGAACTGGGCAGGGAAATTTGGCAGGTTTGTCATGACAGTGGACATTTTTTTAGGGCTCACAAATCAAGTCAGTAAGCATTTATTAAGCTCCTCCTGTGTGCCAGGCACTGTCCTGCATGCCAACAGTACAAAGAAAGGCAAAAAAACAGTCGTTGCTGTCAAGGAGCTCCCCATCTAGCCAGGAGATGACGTACACAGAAGTGAATGCAAATGAGATAAATACAGGCGGGTTGGAAATAATGAACAGAAGGAAGGCCCTAAGATGGGAGAGCATTCCAGGCACACAGGACAGCCGATGCAAAGGCCTGGTGAATGGAGAGGCACGGTCTTGTGAGGAACACCCAGGAGGCTGGGGTCACTGGATCCAGGAGCGTGTGGAGGGAGGAAAGTGTCAGAAGACTGTGCAGCTAGGAGGGGGCCACCTTAGGAGGGCAGAGACTTTTAGGTTTGATCCTGGAGCCAATAGGGTGCCACTGGAGGGGGTTGAGCAAGATCTGTAGCTTGGTACTTTCTTCACCATTACCCAAGAGGTAGAGAGTGTGAGGATTACTGTTCCCATTTTACAGATGAGGAAACTGAGGAGATGGGAAATGCCTGGCCTGGAGTCACACAGCTGGGCAGCACTGGGACTGGCTTTCAAACCTCCCTGTTGTCTCTGCGCACAGTCAGCTTTCACATCCCTCTGGGAGATTCTCTGCAGAGATTGTCCGCGGTCATTTCTCCCTTTGAGCTCTTGTTCCCGTAATAAGACAAAGGACGGGAGAGTCTCACGGGTGACTGCTCCCTCCCGGGCTGCAGGCAGCTCAGCAGGAGTGCTTAGAGCCCTGATCTGCTGGTTGCATCCTCCAGGGAAGGCAGAGGGGCGTGGCCGTCGTCGTGTCTAGGCCCGTGTTTGCCTGTGCTCAGGAAGGTGCTTGGACCCCTGACGCAGCCTGCAGCAATGAGGATTCGGAGGCTGCTCAGGCTCTGGGGCCCTCCCGCTTCCCTCCTCTTCATGGTGTCACTTTATTCATTTATTTGAAGATTTCCCCAGAACTTGGACCCCATCCATGGTCCCAAGCAGAAGCAGAGCCCGAGCTTTGAGAGAGCATGGAGTGCCCTGCCCCGAGGCTGTTGGAAGCTTCTTCGTTCTGGCCCCTAGAGTTAAGGGGTACAGTCATTCACCTCAGACTCCTGAGGCCCAGGAACGGGGAATAGTGGAATCCCAGGTACTACCTGCACACAGCCCGGGCACCCTGGCAGCTGCTGCACAGCTCAGAGAGTCCCAGAGCCCCAGGCCTGGGAGACACCTCAGAGGCCCTCGGGGGCCAGGCTAGGGCCTGGGCCCCTTCCTGATGGCCTCCCCCACCCCAGGCAAGCTTTCGCCCAAAGGAGGTTTTTGCAGCTTCCATCTGTGATCCCTAGGAGTCCCTCGTCTGCCCCCAAATCCTTCGTGTACTTTCAGAATGCGATCATACTTTGCTGGGCTAGGGAGAAAGACCGCAAGTCTGCCCTCCTCCAGACTGAACATTCCTTGTTCCTTCTGTACTTCTAGGGGAGGAAGGGGAGTAGAATGGGAAAAATTGGCTCAGGGATCGAAACCCAGGTTCAAATCTTGCCCCCGACTCTTAGTACTTGCTGGACTTTGGGTGAGTCAATTCATGGCACTCAGCCTCAGTTTCCTCATTTTGTGAGATTGGGGGGAAGGGGAATGAGTCGGACCAGCGGGTTTCTGAGCGCTTGTCTGGCTCCGCATCTGTGGTCCTCTGGATGGTCTCCAGGGCCTGCAGAATCCTGGTCGGCACTCCCTCTCCTTCACAGCCTTCCTATCGTGTGGCTTCCGGAGCTTAGCCTGGAGTAGGGCTGACAGTAAGCAATGCCCCCTCTTTCTGTGCCTGGCTCAGTGCCAGCTGGGACTGGTGGCGGCATACGGCAGGCTCCTGTGGTGCTTTCAGTCCACTAAAGTCCCTCCATCTTTTTGTTTTTTAAGTATAATACTTATTTCTCAATTAGTAACATTTTTTTCCTCCTCTGAAAACAAAGCAAAGCAAAAGAAGAAAACAAAAACCCTTGTAACCAACATGCCAAGTCAAGCAAAACAAATGAGTACAGTAGACATGTTAAAGCACACTGGGTCCATCCCTTCTCCATAAGGAGACAGAGAGTGCTGCGTCAGTCCTCTGGCACCAGGCTTGGTCACTGCGTTAATTGGAGCTATTTATTTTGTTGTTCAGCTGCGTCCAACTCTTCGTGACACCATTTGGAGTTTGTTTGGCAGAGATGTTGGACTGGCTTTCCTTCTCCAGCTCATTTTACAGATGAAGAAACTGAGGCAAACAGGGTCACACAGCTAGGAAGTATCTGAGGCTGGATTTGAACTCAGGTCTTCCTGACTCCTGGCACTGCACCACCCAGCTGTTTGTTTATCACAATGTTGTTGTTTTGGTATAAATTGTACTAAACATGCCTCCCTTTTGCATCAGCTCATGGATCTTCCCAGGTTTTTCTGAAACCATGCCTTTCATCGTTTCATCTGGCACAGTAGGATTCCATTACGTTCACTACCATAATTTGTTCAGCCACTCCCCAATTAATGGGTTCTTCCTTCCCCTCCCTGTTTTTTTAATACAAACTCTTGTCTAGTCATACCTTATACTTAGGCAATGGACATTTTGAGTCCAAGTGCAGGGATTTACATTTACTCCTATTCGATGTCAGCATTGGATGAAGATCTGGACTCAGAGTCAGTAAGATCTGGGTTCGAGTCCTGCCTCTGGCACATTCTGGCTATGTGACTGGACAAGTCGCAGCTTGTCAGTGTCCAGGGACAGTCCCCAAGCCTTTAAGATGCACCATAGCTGCTGCTCAGCGTTGGTAGAGGACATTTCCTACACCCATGAAATCACAGCTCCTCACTCCTTACTCTCAAGGAAGATCTCCATTTTGATTCACTTTGGCTCATTGTTCCAGCCTGTTGAGATCCTAGCGGCTGCTCTCCAGGACTTGGACTTCCCCCATCGTTGTACATTCCTGCTCCATGGTGGTCCTGCCTCCTTTTCTGGTCACATATATAGAATACAGGAGGGTCCCAGGTCGGGGCCAACCCTTCTTTTGTTTCAAGTTTTTTTTTTTTTAGGTAATTGCCCAGGGTCACACAGCTAGTAAGTGTCAAGTGTTTGTTCTGAGGCCAGATTTGAGTTCAGGTCCTCCTGAGTTCAGGGCCGGTGCTCTATCCACTACGCCACCTAACTGCCCCCCCCAACCCTTCATTTTGTAGCTGCATCACACTCTCGAAGCTGTCTTGTGCACTACTTGTGTTTCATGTCTCGCTCTGCCTGATCGTGGGCCACAGGCTGCTAGAGCTCACCGTGCACCCATTCATCGCTTCCTGGGACACCCGAGATCAAGGTGTTTCTCACCTCCCAGAAAGGCAGCACTCTTGGCAGACCCCAGGTTGTCCCTCATCATTAGGTCAGGTACACTTTGGTGCTGGCACCCGGACTGTGAAAGGGCCTCATGGACACATCTCTTGAGGTTAGAAATACTTTTACAAAGTCTTGAAATGTGATCACTGGGGATGATATCAACTGTCTGGACTCTGCCCCTTCCAAGGCTTAGTCCCTAGAAAGAGGTCGCTGGGGTCTACCCAGATAGGAAGCAGCAGAGCACCCCGCTTTTTTGTTTTTGCAAAGGAATATTTACATATTTATTTCAAAGCTATAGCAAGAAGCAAGGCACAAATTGTCCTCCTGTACCCAGAGGCATCGTCCTCCCATGCACTGGGTCTGTATCTGGAGAGGGGAAGGGGATTAGGTTCACACTTGAGCTGGGTTCCTAGAGCATCAGTTTCACCAAGTTCTGGGCTTGCTTCCCAGCGCTCTGGTTTCTCAGGACTTTTCTGCTGAATTAACAGCAACATCTGGCCTGGGATCCTGGCTCCAAGGTCTTGAACTCCTAGGTCCAGGACTCCGTTGCCTGCATCTAGGACTGAAAAGGATCCATGAAGCAGACTGAAAGCCCCAAGCCTGATTTTCAGGGCTACAGAGCCTCCAGGGGGCCCTTCCTCCTACCTAGCGTAGTGCTGGGGCCCGTGATGTGGGTGAACAAGACTTTACTCTTGGATGCAGCTGGGAAAGGAGCCCCCAGGTCTCTGTTTTCAGATCTAGTGCTTCTCTTTGGTGGATGAGGATGTCAGTCCTTGGGTGTAAAAATGTGCTCGTGGAATTGTCTGAGATTGAACCTTTCACTCTCTTGTTGTTGCCTGACTCCCCAGAGGGTGATTACTCTTTGTAAAATGGGTCCAGGGTGATTTGTGCCAACTCGATCGGTCATTTGACCTTGACTGAGTCACCATGGAGCTTTCTGCACCTACAAAATGGTGGCAGTGATGAGGTCCAGCTGGCTTCTTCCACCTCTGGATGTCCTCTGATCATGTGGGAAGCAGCAGCTGGAATGCACCTGGTTTGGGGTTTGACAGCAGAAAACAGAATTGGATTTCTTTCGTTTTCTTCTAGGTCACACCGTGAACAAGATGTGCAAACATTCAGATGGAGAGGTGGCCAGTCTTGCCAATGAAGTTTATACTGAGTGGAAGACGTTCATTGAGAAGCATTCGGATAAGCCCTCCATTGAAGTCCGCAGCGACCCCCAAACTGAGACGTTCAGGAGAAACGCCCAGAAGTTACTCTCTGAAGCATTGGACCTAGAGGTAATGTTCTTGTTAGGAGGGCTCAGCTAGGCCTGTCCCTGGGCAGCTGCACCAAGGATGATCCTGGGCACTTGCTTAATGGATCTTTGTCTTGACTTTGGGGTTTACAGGCAGTTCATAAATTTGTAGCCAGGACCCTGAAACAGGCCTTCAAGAAAGGCCTAGTTAGGGGCAGCTAGGTGACACAGTAGATAGAGCACCGGCCCTGAAGTCAGGAAGACCTGAGTTCAAATCCGGCCTCAGACCAAACACTTGACACTTACTAGCTGTGTGACCCTGGGCAAGTTACGTAACCCGAATTGCCTAAAAAACAACAAAAAAAAGAAAACAAAACAAAACAAAAATAAAGGCCCAGTTACCAAATATGGAGCCATTCACTGTTTTTAAATTGTGTCCTACAGATCCCAGGTGGTCTGTGCAATGTAGACTGGGGGGTCTGAGGGGATACTCCAATGAGAATGATGTTTGTAACTCCAGATATTAACTAGGAAGTGCCTTATCATCGGTTGCGGCAGTTTGGGTGTGAAAATATACTCAATGTCCTGTAAATTTTACCTCCATTCCAAGGAGATTCCGTCCCACAGTCTGAGACTTCCTCACCTTACCCGATATTTAGAGGTTCATGCCCACAAGTGTTCCATGAACCAAATAATTCTAGAAATACTGATTAGGGATAAGCTGTCTGATAGACAGGGGAGACCAGGTCCAAGTGGAGGCCACCTGGAGCAAACTGACCCCCGTCCCTGGATTTGTGAGGCATGCAGTGGGTTAAGGAGCCTGTGGCTAGCATGGTGTGGCATGATGCAGGCGTGAAGATGATGATCCGGGGCACACGTGGTAGAAGGAAGCCTGTGTATGTTTGTTATTTTGCTTCAGGAAGCCTGAATTCCCTGCATGTCCTAGAAGAGATGTTTGAATGCCTCTGACTCATTCCTCCTCTGCCAGAGGAAAGCCCTGGGTCTGGAATCAGGGGCCTGGGGCCTGCAGCTTGGCTTTGCTGCTCACCCTTCACATGGAGCAGGGCAAGGCCCTCCTTACCCATTGGTAAGAGCGATGCCGAATGAGGGGTGAGGACTCAGCCCGAGTGTGGCTCCTTTCCCACCTTGGAGTCCAGGATGACTTTAGGGCAGATTCCATGAGGGTCATATCAGTAGCAGGCATTTGGTATTTCTTCAGATGGCAGTAGTGTCATGGTTGAGAGAAGTCTGGACCCAGCCTAGAGCTTCCAGCTCTGCCCCTACGGCATGTCCTTAGTGACCTTGAGCCCCTCTGTAACATGAGCCCTCGGAAGTCGACACTCTCCAAGGCCCTTCCAGCTTGAAAGTTCCATGGTTCTCTTGAGTACTCATTACGGACTAAGTGTTCCACAAGATATCTTTTTTAATAGGGACACATGTAGAAGGAAGATAAAAGGACTCGGAAGTTCGGTGTCTGTCTAATTTTCTGGGATATCGATTAGCTGACAAGACTTGTTTGGTATTTTAAACAAGTGTATTTTTGCAATAAATCAAAATTGATTAGAGAAATGTACAGTAGGGGTGAATAATATATAGTTAATGTGGTGGTAAATATCAGCTCCCTGTGGTATCTTTTTAAGTAAATGACTATAACGAAGCCTTGCTGTAAGGATTAATGAGCAGTTTGCCTGCTATATTAAACTCCATAATAATTATCCTTTTAGTTTATCCATTAATTACCCTTTAAATGGTACATGAAGTGCTCAGCACTCAAGTGTTACGAAGCAAAGTTTAAAAAGTAATACGTTTGTGTGCACTTTCCAGTTTAATCAGGAAAAAAGATCACATTCAGCAGAACTGAATAGGTTAGTTTCCAAAGCACAAATTAAAAAAAATTAAAAGTCTGACTCTTAGGCTGATCCTTGGTGAGAAGAAGAACCCACTCAATCTGTTTTCCTTGCCTAAAGAACATTTGTCTGTATTTTCATTGGTTTCATATGTCACAGAATACAGACACAAACACGTTAGTGTAATGCTAACCGGCTCTACCGTCTGTTCTCATCTGCAACGTTTCTACACTGGTACGAATCAGTGATCCTTCCAGGCCTGCACTGGGCCTCTGACAGGAGCCAATGTGGAATCCATTTGAATCAGATGCCAGATCTCCATAAAGGTAATTAATCAGGCAGGAGAAGACCCCTGGGGTCCCTTCCCAGCCAAGGACTGCAAAGCCTTTCTCTTTCGATTTGGTGCAGTGTTCTCCCAGATGCCGTTTCTTCATGTCATGAGGAGCATTTCCACATGGCTCATCTCCGCAGCATCCTCTTGCTGTGATTGCCACAGGTTAATATGCATGCGACCAAAAAAGTACTTCCCTTATTAATATAAATTTGTTCCTTTTCCATGTCAGTGACTGCTTCCTTGTTCTTGCAATTGTAGAAGAGATGAAAAGAAAACCCATCGTCATGGCCCTGGCTTTCTCTTCCTTTATTTTCTCTTCTTTATTCTCTTGTATCTATTAGATCTTTCATCATATGAAAGTCTCCTGCCGGGTCATTCTCTTACTTCCCCTTCCTCATTATCCACTCGCCTTCCCAGCTCGCTCCTGTGATCATTTAAAAAAAAAGTGAACGGGTTCTAAAAGTGAGCCTGTATCGTCAGCGTTAAGAAACAGCGTGGCTGGTTAGCGAATGTGCTAATGAGACCAGGGTCAGAGGGACGGTCCCCACATGGGCCTGCCGGCTCTGCTTTGTTCCATAGCGGCACACTACACCCTTAATTTGGACCAGCCTCCTCATAAACATGTTCCACTGGTCATGAGCAATGGGAGAAGCGTGGAATTAGAGGGTGGCTACGCTAATGTGAAGAGAGGATGTCAGAAGAGGAGGCATGTTAGCTGGAGGGCCCTTCAGAAATCCTCTCTCTAATCCTTCGTTTGATCTCCTTTGCCCCTGCTCTCCCTACCTCCTATTTATGTGGAGGTTCTTTGAGGGCAGAGACTCTTTTGTTTTTCAGGTTCATAGTAGTTGCCTAATGCATGGTGGTTGGATTAAACTGAATCGAATGAAGACCTAGGCAGCGGCTTTCCTGAGGTCTCGGGCCTCGCACCCGGCCGAGGCAAGGCGTGCAGTCTGGGTTATTGAATGAAGACTGAGGCAGCGGCTTCCCTGAGGTCTCGGGCCTCGCGCCCGGCCGAGGCAGCGGCTTTCCTGAGGTCTCGGGCCTCGCACCCGGCCGAGGCAAGGCGTGCAGTCTGGGTTTCTGGCTTCTCAGGGTGTTGCTCTTTCTGTCCTTGTAGGAGCTTGTTGGGCCTGCTCGTCGTAAGCATAATAAGGCCTGAGAATCAGGTGGGTCCCCGAGCCCCAGGATACGCCATCTTGGTGTAGAAAGGGTTGTTTGGATTTTCAGCTGGACCTGTGTTCTCACTGATGGGGGTGTTCCCTCCAGTGGTGCACCCGGAGACCCATCCATCCTTGCCCCCAACATGACTCTTGTCCTTGTCTCTGTAAGTTTGCTACAGGGTGTCCTCCCAGGGTGCTGGGGGCTTCCCTTGTGTTCTCCAGGCATGACAGTGGTTTTCTCAGCCAGCCAGTCAGTCGCAAAGCATTTGTTTCTCCTCGGAAATCCCTGTTTGTAATGTATCATGACCTACTCACACCCTCAGGTGCTTTTCTGTTGCTGCCTCAGTTCTGCAAAGGCTGGAGTGGTCCTTTTGACTTGTCGTATAATACCTGTGTAATACTGGGATTAAAAAAGATGACCTTTGTTCAAGGAATTGCTAGGAGCATGAAGCAGAGCAGTTCAGTGGGGAAAGTGTGAGATTTGGAGTTTGAGGGCCCAGGTTCAGATCCTGGATTCTTGTATGACCTAGGTCACGCTGTTTAATTTCCTTGTGTCTCAGTTCTTCATCTGTAACATGTGTGGGTTAATGCTAGATGAATTCTGAGGTCCCGTCCAGTTCTAAAATCTATCATCATTAAAAGAAAATTCCAATGCCCAAAGGCAATCTAATGTAGTTCATTTTCCTCCTCCTCATACTAATTTTGGGCCCAGCTTATCACTCATTGGCAGTGTCCGTCCAAGACAACCACAGTGCTTCCTGATGGATAAGGGCTGTAGGCTGGCCGATTGCAGCCACGTGCCAAGTGGACGGTAAGCATTCATTGTCCCCCAGGTTTAGCCTTGAGTGGATAGTTCAGCTAAGCTCTTTTGGGTGGTGTTTGATCTCTTCCAAGATGGGATTGATGAGCTGGATGCAGTCGGCACAGTGCTAGCCACAAAGGGACGTACCTCATGGCTTATCATTATGTTATTTCATTTTCATATTTAGCCAAGTGTTGGCATATTAGTTTTCCCATATTTCATAGACATATAGCTTTCAAGCAAGAAGGGACCTTATAGGTCATCCCATCTAACTACCTCATTTTACATATGGAGAAACTGAGGCGCAGCAGAGAATTGCCTGCCAAGGAGTTAACGGCTAAGCTGGGCGTAGAGACCCGAGTCTCTTGCTTGTTACTTCACTGTACTATTACCCCCTCCCCCCGCGTTTTTATTTTCAACATACATATATATTTCATTCATATATTTTCATGATATTCATATTGTATAGACAGAGTATATACATTTTCATCTTTGTAGCCCAAATTCTCAAATGTAATGTATCTTCCTCTGATGCCCTCTTGTGGCATGGGGGTGACCCTGAGTTCTGAAAGCTCTCCCAGGTTCTACCATGCTGGAAGGCTCCAGGGATGGGTCTGTTTTCTGGGGACGAGTCTAGCCAACTACAGAGAAGCCCATTGGTGCCAGGAGGCTGGCCGCGTGGCAATACGTTCTTTGGCCACAGTTGCCTGTGTGCCCACAGACACGCAGCAGATGATGCCCAGTCCTGTGGAGCCCACTTGTGCTCTGCAGTGATAGAGTCAGAGCTGCCAGAAAGGGGGAAAATTGGCTTAAGAAACAAGGTATTTAGACCATCTCCAAGCCCTCACTTGAATTTAAAAGCTGAGCCTCGTCCAAAGATCTGGAAGGTGGACGTTCCCTGGCAGGAGCTGAATTGTATCAGTCTTAACATTCTAAACGTGATCAGAACCAAAATGAAGAAGGAAGTTGTAGGTGAATGGAAAGATGGCTCATAGGTCATCCCTGGTGAGGAAGGGGTTGGAGGACTGGCTTTTGTCCTATACTCAAAGGCAAAAAGAACCATTGGAGTTGACATTTGGTCACCTCACGTTGCAGTACTTGTGGTAAACATTTGTGGAAAGATCGCCATGTAAATAATTGGAACTGATGAGCTAGCATCAATTGTACAGGATGGAGAGGTGGAGAAATTCTCTGAAGAACTGGATAAGACTCTCCACATTAAATCAGCATGAAGTGACTTCACTGCCGAGTTGAAGATGGCACAAAATGTATGAGAAAGTATTAATCAGGAAGAAGGAACAAGAAAGGCCGAAGACTCGTAGACCCGAAGAAGCCGTCCGCTTTTATATCATAAATACTTTCTTTAAGAAAAGGATCAGAAGGCTCTGGATATGGTGACCAACAAATAACGTTACAAAAAGTGAAATTGGTTCTGTTTTAATGGGTGAGAAAAGACTCCCTGTTAGTATGTGAATCATCTTGGAGTCAGATATCTGTTGTACAGAAGAGGAATTAGAATTAGTAACTAGAAAAAAAGAGGAATAAGAAAAACGTGGCATATTATTGAAGCAACTCAAACTATTTAATGAAGCCATTGACAATGAAAATTGGGTAATGGGCGGCAGAAATGATGTTGACACCAATGATTTTACCTAAAAATTTAACTGATAAAAATCAGTTACCATACCAAAGGACCTCAAAAGCTCCTTAGTCAGCAGACCCTTGGCTTAATCACCAAAAGAGGAGAGCTGGCCACCGAAGGCAGCACTGGTTTAAAACGTCAGCTTGTTTATAACATTTTTTGGAAGAGGATGCCGGATGATTATAAGTAGCATTGCTTCATGAATGAGAGGGAATCTGTGCAGGATAAAACCAACTTAAAGAAAGCAAAGTCATCCTTAGGGCATTAAGGATAAAAATGAAAGGAAGACTATAAACAGAAGATGGAAAAGATCTGCAAAGCTTTTTATCTCAAACTGGTTTTGCCATCAAGAACAGAGACATGAAGCATTTATTAAGTGTTTATTTATGCCAGGCACTGTACTGAGTGCTGGGAATAAAAATACAAACGAGAAGAAAGAGTCCTTACCCTCGTGGAGTCAAGTCAGAGCCCTGTTGCGGTGAGCTCCTGTCTCATGTGAGCCACAGTTTATGTGCCATGCCAGCACGTGTGAACACACGCACACACGTGTGCGTGTGTGCACACACATCTCTTCCTTGGTGACCGCTGGATGCTCCAAGTGCTTTAATCAGGTCACACGAAGGACTCTTTCCTGCCTGCTTGGCTTCGAGCTCTCAGTTTCCTCACAGTGCACTTCCTCACCAGGCCATGGGGAGGGACGCAGTGCCAGGATCATTGTCCCCAATTACACTCACGGAGTACGTGACTAATAAGTGCCTGCCAGGACTTGAGCTCGCGCCTCCTGGATGGTCGCGTGAACTTCTGAAAAGGCGTCCTGGGAGAAGGTGCTTTCTGGTGATTGCTGCTATGTGAGCACCAGGCAGAGTGGTGCCCTTACCCCACCATCGTTCAGTGCTGGGGCTGCCCTTGTCAGCTGGTCCAGGTGACATTGGGGGTTGTGTAGAACCGCTGGAGGAGATCTGGCCCAGGTATGGATCATCCCCAGTCTGGAGAATCAGATGGAGATCTGCAGTGCAGACCTAGGATGAATCATAGTCAGGGAAACTCAGCCCTGGGGGCAGCCCCAGTCCTGGTCCAACAACAGAGCTGCTCCGCCCCTCAGGGAGGACAGAGGGCAAGGCCAGATCATGCATGGGCCGTGCTGGCTTGTGCCAGGCAGGCTGTGCCTAAGCCCGCAGACTTCCCCTGCCCCAGCCAGGCCAGCTTCTGGAATGGTTGGGAAGGGCTGGGGCGTTGATGTAGCAGCACTTGGCATGTGGGGATGTTTCTGAAGTAGATAGAGTTTTAGGATCAAAAGGTTCTTATTTGCATAAACTTGCGCAGCAGAATTTTCTGAAAACCCAGGTGTTCTTTGCACAAATACAGGTTCTGTGAGTAGTTTTCTACGGTGTCAGTACTTTTCCCTCTGTAAAATATTAAATAGTAAATCATGTTTATCTAAAAAATTCTATCATAGCAATTTGGTATACAAAGTAGGTTTAATCCCCTCTGTTCTGCTCCAATATCTTCCTGACTCTCTTTGTCCAGGGGGGTAGGGGCAGGGGACACGCTCACACTGAGGGCAGTATTCGAAGCAACAGGGAGATCTTATAGAATGACAGATTGTGGCCTGGTATAATGAGAAGTGGCACTGCCTTCCCACCCCCCCCCCAAAAAAAAACCCTCCAAACGAAACGGGCCAAGAGAGAGCAAGACGTCTGTGTAAAGTCCTGGATAGAACACTGAATCTGAAGTCAGGAGTGAATGGATCAGTCCAACAGATGGATGGATGGATGGATGGATGGGTGGGTGGATGGATGGACAGACGGACAGATGAAAGAAAAAGAAAAGGGGAGAGGAGGGAGGGAGTAGGAGAGGACAGAGAGACAGGGATAAGGGGCGGGGAGAGAGCCTGCTGTGACACCTCATCTCCTGACTCCAGGCATTTTTTTTTTTGCTAAGGCAATTGGGGTTAAGTGACTTGCCTAAGTTCACACAGCTAGTAAGTGTCAAGTGTTTGGTCTGAGTCCTCCTGACTCCAGGGCTGGTGCTCTATCCACTACGCCACCTAGCTGCCCCTAACTCCAGGCATTTTCACTGGCCATCTCTGATGCCTGGGGACATCTCTGCCTTCTGGCTTCCTTCAAGTGCCATCCCTTTAACAGGAAGCCTTCCTTCTACTGATTATCATCTGTTTATCCTGTCTCTGGGTTGTCTGTTCGTACTTGTGTACAGGTCCTCTCTCCCATTAGATCATACGTCCTTGAGGGTAAGCATTGTCTTTTGCCTTTTTTGTGTCCCCGGGCTTAGCACAGGGCCTGGTGCTTAGTTTGTGTTAGTTAAATGTTCATAGACAGATAGATGATAGATAGAGCATGAATATAAGTGTTCATTATGAGCCAGGCACTGTGCTAAGCCCTGGGGATACAGACATAAGCTAGAAAGCCAGTCCCTGGCCTCTAGAAGCTTCTGTTCTAACAAGGGAAGACAGCCTATAATCAGGTACTGGGAAGGAGGTGAGGTGGAGAACAGAGGAGCGAGGCTGCTGACGTGGAGGAGCGTAGTGAGCGTGGCAGTCCAGGGTAGGGCCAAGCTAAGCAGAAGAGAAGGCCGTGGTGCGGAGCAGCTGAATTCTGGCTCCAAGGGCAAGTCGCTCTTAGATCCTCTGTTTCCTCGCCTGATCTCACTCAGGCTTCTTGTGAGGAATCACTTTGCAAATTTGAGAGGACCCTAGAAATGGGATTATTGTTATGATTGGTAGTGGGGCCCTGAGGCCCTCCAGCAAAGGCTGGCTGACCCCGTGGACCGATGGGGAGGGGATTCTCGGTCAGGGCTTTTGTGGGTGCTCTGAACTCCCCAGGCCTCCCAGATCAGCACTGATGTATTTCAACCCCACCCCCAGGTCCTGTGGCCTGATGACACTGATATCCTGGTTGGAATACACAGTATTATCCTGATTTCTTGTCCTCTTTTGTAGTTTCCTGAGCTGCAGAGTAACAGGCCCTCAGGACCAGTTACTTAGTTCAGGCAAGTTTCCTGTTATAATGGCAAATATTACCACCCAGCTGGGGTTGTGAAGAAGGTCTCTGTCACATAGCACATGGCCTTGTTCCTTAATTGCCAGGGTGGAATTAATTTGCTCTTCCTGTTTCTCTTGTGACAGGAAGTAGATTTCCTTGAATTTAAGTTGATTAATGAAGGCCTCTGAGCCCCCAAGCTCTAGTCTCTACTGCTTTTAATCCTTACGAAGCGGAAGGTCCTCATTTGATAATTTTGCTATGTTTTTTTTAGATGGATCACCCACTGGTTGAAAATATTGAGCGTGAAGCTTTTCATCTCTGCTCCCGTCTCATTAATGGACCATATCGGCGGACAGTGAGAGCCCTGGTCTTTACATTAAAGCACCAAGCTGAAATTCGAGCTCAGGTCAAGAGCTGCTCGCTACCAGTCAACACGCTGGTGCAGACTCACAAAAAGTGACCTTCGTAGTCATCCACGCCCCGGGAAGCAGCACCAGGCACACCAAAGGCTGGCCGCTTCCCTCTTTTCAAAGGGCTCTTTGAATTTGGGTGAGGGGGAGACCTGGCCGCCATCAGCCTCCTCCAAGTGCCATTCCATTCAGGAGGAGGGCACGAGAACAACGGGGGATGGGCCCCGGCATCATTATCTGTAACAAGTGTCACTGTCTGAAAGCATCAATGGCACACTGGGGCCCTCGAAGCGCCATGTTTGTGATCACAAAACTAGGCCAGGAGGGTGATGGGGCTCATTGTGGCCTTGCCAAGGAGGCCTCTCAACTACCTTCTCCTGTTGGGCCAATGGTGCCTCTCCCTTATTCCACCACCCTGCAGGTAACTGAAACTCAATTACTGCCGGTGCTTGGTGACGTCCCCCAGTGTTTAGATAGCCTTGGTGCTCTCAGAACTCACCCATCTGTCTTCCCTTAGCTGTACGCTGGGGGGGAGCCTGCAGGAGCCCACCGACGCCCCCCTTTTCCCTGATTGTACTTACCTGAATGTTTCAGCTCTCTCTTGAAGACCTTCAGCGTTGGTCTCTGAAGCCCCCATGCTGGGGTGTCTAATGAGCGTGTGGCCTGAAGCGGCCAAACCTCGTGCTTTATTTGAATGCCTGGCTATTAGACTTTAGAGATATATAGAAGGTGGATAATGAAATTTCTCTCTAAACAAGTTGGGAGAAAAATCTATTTTAGCAAATCATGACTGGACTACAGGAGAGTCCTTGAGTGATTATGTAAATGCAATTTGCCTCTTTTTAAGAGCGTGATAATAAACCATGTGGCTTAAAAACACAGAAACATTTACTTTTTCCTTAGAAAACGTATTGGACTGAAAATGTGCACTGGTGTCTCACCTTCAGATTTGCTTTTAATTCTTTGAGTGAAAATCTTTCCATAGTGCTAGAGCTTTGCAGAGAGAATGTCAGAGGCCTTTCCCAGAGATGGGCTTGCCACCCATTCCCGAGTCCTCTCAAAGTAGGGCTCCTGGGTCAGGGGGCATGGAGAGACATGGGGATCACCGTTAGGTGCAGAATTGGGTCTGGATTGGAGGCATTTAGTTCCCTTGGGTTGAGTTGCCTTGCCTAAAGTAGGTTTTTAATAAAGGCTCTTCAAATTACATGGAAATTGTTGCATTCATTCTGATGTTTATTAGTGTGTGCACCTGTCCTTGAGGGCAGAACCAAGGCATTTGATGTGGAATTCCAGGCTTCCCTCAGTGGGTCTGGCTTCACTAGATAAGCAGAGGGCCTATACCTGTGCTCTCACTGGTCCAGGGAGCTCACAAATGAGGCACTTCCTCTCCCACTGCAGGTTGGTACCATCTTTATTACTTGTGGTCTTAGATATCTGCCCCAAACACCAAAAGGTGAAGGGATTTTCTGAGGGTTACCAGTCTGCTAGAGGCGGGACCCGCGCCCAGCGCTTCTTGCTCCGGAGGACAACTCTGTAGCCACTGTGCTGTGCTATCAGTAGCTACTATTTATATAAGAGGTTTACCAATATGTTCTTATCCCAGCCTCACAACACCCCTGGTGCTGTTATTATGCCCAATGTACAGAAGAGGAAACTGAGGTAGACAGCAATTGAGCTGCCTAACTCACGTTTATTTATTTAACAATCACAGCCACTCCCCTGATAACAGCTCTCAGGCATGCGTCTTACAAGGACCCTGGTGCTCACTGTACAGATGGAGACCCTGAGCTAGAGAGGTAGAGTGACCTGTCCACAGTAAGTATTCGAGCCAATATTCAGAGCCAGCATTTCTTCTGCCTGCGCCCTGCTGCTTTCTGATTGCCTTTTGTGTCTTCACTTCAGCCCTTCCTGCTATAGTTTGTCAGCTTCCTCTTGGCTTTAGAGATGCCTCTGGTCACTGCACATGTATACATGCACACCCTCGGAAGTGCAGTATCAAGTGATCCTTTTGTGAAGAGACTGAAACTGGGGAGGAGAGAACCCCAGCCGAGGGTGACCCATAATTCTGGTTGATTATGGACGTGGGCCAATAATTGGCTTTCCTTCTGGGTTGTCAGTACCAAACAGCCACCATATGGTTGAGACATTTCTGAAAGAGTCCCCATGATAACGTCTGCCGTAGGAAGACAGCCAGGCCAAATGGGTTTTGTGGAGGAGCTTGGGCTGGGGGCTGGCCTGGCCCCCACTTGTCTCACTGGAGGCCACCCGTGACCTTCGCTCAACTTCCAGGCTCTAAGGAATGAGCTGTTTTATATAAACCAGGAAACGATTGTAGGGTGTGCACAGGGGCAGCTGGGAGCAGTGGAGGCAGCCGCCGGAGAGCCTGAAAAAGCAATTGTCAGGAACGATTGAGGGCGGGGATTCTTGTTCCAGACAGAGCTCGGGCTCGTCAAGAGGCCGACCTGGACAAGGTTAGTCTTGTGACAGCCTTTCAGGGACATCTCTCGTGCCTTTTCCAGGCCACGCACATGCCTTGGGAGTTCTGTGCCCTGAGCTTGAAGCCCTCCACCATCTTGGTCGCCCTCCTTGAAAGCTCTCCAAATTTCCACACCTCAGTCCTCCCTAGAGTCAGAAGCTGCAAACACCAGCCTCCAGATGCAGTCTGACCAGGCTGCGTGAACTTGGGCCAGTCACTTAACCTTCATCTTCTCATCCCCCTCTATCTCTTCCACAAGAAGAGTATGAGATACTTCATTGAATGAGCATCATCATTCTCCTGATCTGGCAGGTTAATAATCCTGTGAAAAAGGAAATAAGGTCAGTTTGTTACGGCCTCTTCCTGATGGAAACACACACTGACCGTTTCCTTTTCAAGATGTCGCCTAACCATCTTTGCCATTAGGTCCCACCTCAGATCCCACCTCCTACAGGTAGCCTTTCCAGATCTCCCCCAGTGCTGGTGCCTTTTTTTTTGTTCTTATCTCCAATTAATCCCATCTAGTCATTTGCATGTTGTCTCCCCTCAGTGGGCAGCAAGCCCTCTTGTAGATAGCCTTTTTATCCCCAGGGTCTCGCACGGGGCCTGGCACAGAATCAGTGCTTAACAAACACTTGGTGACTGGACTTCAACAAAATCAAGCTCACGGCCCCATTTTGAGCAGACTGTTCGTTTCCCCCCCCCTTTTTTTTAAAAATCAGGACATTTGTCTTTCTCTACTCCTGTAGTAACTTCTCCATTTCCCACCACCTTTCACATATCCCTGCCAGTGACTTAGCAGTCACACCTGCCACCTGTTTGAGGGTGTAAGGATGTTGTGCCTCTGGCCAGATGACTTCACTCCTTGAGGATGACTGAGTGAGCTCTTACCATTGCCTTTTGTTTGGTCATTTCTACCTCAAAGGTCATTCTCATCGACTGAGAAACAGGCAAAATAAGGATTGAGTGGCTCTGCCTTCTTGTGTTATCCATCATCACTGTCCCATCCATCCCAAGCAACAGTCCTGTCCTGCTTTGATCCTCTTTCCCCATTATAGCTTAAAAAAAAATACCTTTTCTGATCTTAATTGCCCTTTCCAGCCTTAATTCATTCCGAGCTTTAGCAATTATAACATTTTTCTAGGACTTCATCATAGGATGGATATCCCATGATGCCAGGCCTTTCTAAGGCCTTCTGGGCTGCTCAGTGGATAGAGCGCTGGACCTGAGTTCAAATCATGCCTCAGACACCTAATAGCTGTGACCCTAGGCAAGTCACTTAATTTCTGCCTCAGTTTTCCCCTCTGTAAAAATGGGGATAACAATAGTACCTACCTCCCAGGGTTGTTGTGAGGATCAAGTGAGATAATAATTTGGAAAGCACTTTGCAAACTTTTAGTGCTACATAAATGCTAGCTGCTATTATTACAAGAGAAATCTGAATTGGTTTGAGTTCACCATGCATCCATAGCACTTCCTGCAGAAACTCTTATTTTTGTCCTTGTCAGAATTGTTTCATTTTGTGTCTTCTAAATTTCATGGTTGGCAGCTAGGTAGAGCAGCGGGTAGAGCACCGGCTCTGAAGTCAGGAGAACCTGAGTTCAAATCCGGCTTCAGACACATAACACTCACTAGCTGTGTGACCCTGGGCAAGTCACTTAACCCCAATTGCCTTGCAGGAAAGAAAGAAAGAGAGAGAGAGAGAGAGAGAGAGAGAGAGAGAGAGAGAGAGAGAGAGAGAGAGAGAGAGAGAGAGAGAGAGAGAAAGAAAGAAAGAAAGAGAAAGAAAGGAAGAAAGAGGGAAGGAAGGAAAGAATCATTAGACTACTAAATTTCATGCTTATGAGTGTCCCATCCCTCCTGGTCTGACTTAACCTTGTAACTGTAGTTGTAACAACTTCCGCCATCCTTCCTTCATTATATTACTCCTTATGGTATGTAGCTTTATGGTGTCAACCGGACCGACCTGTGGATGGCCAGAGCCAGACAGGAGGCTGGAGAAGGGAGAGTCAGGAATCAAACAGAAGTTTAATTTCAAAGTGAGGAAAATGGCTTGCAAGCAAGGACATGTGCTGGGGCCCCACCCCTAGTGGGGGGGACCTGAGGCAGGGTGGGGAGATCTTAATACTTATACCTATGGCTGCACAGTGAGCTGTAGCCCTGACAGTGAGGGGTAACCCCAACAATGAGACAAGTTTGACTCATAGTTGGGCTTCGTGACCAGAACATGAATCCAGCAGGTGTTTGTCCAAGCTCAGAACAGCTGGTGCTGGTCGAAGCAATACAATAATTATACGAAACAATTCTGGGATTTTGCTGTGGCTGAGATCATCCAGAAGGTGAGAGCAAAGGATTGTTGTTAGGCCAAGCTCGGAGCGCTGCCTGCTTGCTGGGCCTTAGCTCTGGAGAACGAGGTCTCCTAGTATCTGGACAGTGGATAGCCAAAGCAGTTTTCTCCCTCCCTTGTTCTTTTCATTTTAAGCCTTTTTTTTTTTATTAGATTTGTAAAACAACTCTTAGACACGTTTGCCAGCCCTAGTTAGATGCACTCCAACATCTCTTGCGTCCCTTATCTTCAGAGGCCAACAGTGAGGAAAAAATTACCCATACCTGCCTGGTCTTTAGTTTCTTGCCCAAGACTTCATAATCTTTAGCCATACTTGGTTTTTAGGTTCCTTTTGTAGCATCATGTGACTCTGTGCCCATGTGAATCACTGAAAGTGGGTTGGAATCATTCACTCTTACAGCTCATCTCTCCGTGTGCCCCAGGAAGACAACAGACCACTCCCTTGCTGTTGTTAGGTTGATAAAATGCTGCCTCAGTATCCCCCAACAGGGCCTCATCAACCACTCCTTCTCTTCTTCCAACCCTGCTGAATGACCTCTCGCCTGATCAAGTCTCAGGCTTTACTGGATCCTTCTTTGGAGAATAAACAGCTGCTTCCTCCTCCAGCGATCCAGCTCTCCTCTTCAGGAAGAGCCTCAAGTCTGTGCAGCTGTCCTTTTCCTTCTCCTCCTTCTCCATGATACATTTCTTCTACCCTCCAATTTCCTGATACAGGTCACTGTGCCTGTCATATCAGACCCTTTTTCCCCATTGAAATCCCCATTTGTTCATTTGAGGGGCAGGGTGAATCCGGAGTCTGCAGGAGATTTCCCTTGCAGGAGGGAGACTTGTGTACCCTTGGAACATGGACAACAGTGTAATTAGAGAGATGCGGGAGGGTCTTCTATGTCCTAAGGCCCCTTGAAGCTCTAACGTTCTGTGCTTTGATATTCCATGATTAAAGGGCCTCAGCAACTCTGAAAAGGTGTGTTTCAAGGTCTTTTCCATTTCCAACATTCTATGTTCTATTGTCTCTCCTAGTCCTAACATTCTTCTATGTTCTATGTCTCCCAGTTCTAACATTCTATGTTCTAGTATCCCTCCAAGCTCTAACATTCTATGTTCTATTATCCCTCCCAGTCCTAACATTCTTCTATGTTCTATGTCTCCCAGTTCTAACATTCTATGTTCTAGTATCCCGCCCAGCTCTAACATTCTATGTTCTATTGTCCCTCCCAGTTCTAACATCCCATGTTCTAAGGTCCCTTCCATCTGTAACATTCTGTTCTAGATTCATCAAACTCTTAAAACTCTGTAATTCTAAGATATAGTACCTATCTTGAAGGATGATAGCATTTGAGATAGTTTTTAGTCATGCAGAAATAATGATGATAATAATAACAATAATTA